TGCCTCTAATAACTGGATAAGCATAGCTTTAAAGTCATTTTCCTGTATTTCCAATGAATTTAAAATATCCATTGATTTTGGAGGTTGCTGGTGAAGCCATAATGTCCTGATTTTTGTTGGATGTGTTCTTATGCTGGCCACTAGACATCTGATGAGCTGTGGCCTTCACTGTTTGTTCTTGGAATCTGTATTGCAGGATGGGTCCATCTGTCTCTGGAGTCTGACATATTCTTCAGGAAGATGAAAGAGGTCCACCAGTTTGAGAGTGGGTGTTAGTATTTCAGATGCAGCTAAGGGAGGAAGATCACGGGCACATGTGCAAGCACAGGAGTGTGAGTGGAAGTGTACTTATCTGGAAGGATGGACCTAAGAGAGGAGCTTAAGTGCAGGCCACTGAGTTCATATCAGAGACAGCCCCTGATCCCCTTTCTAGGGAACCCACTTGGAAACTGAGCAGTCTATGGGTTTCCTCTGAGCAGGGGTCTAGGTCCTTTCCATGAATGGTCCTTGGTTGGAGTATAGGTCTCTTCATGGCTGCCTGGGCATAGATTTTTTTTTTGGCTCTGTTGGTCTTCTTGTGGAGCTCCTGTCTCCTCCAGGTCTTTCTATATCCCCCTTCTTCCATAAGGTTCCCTGCACTCTGCCCAAAGTTTAGCTATGTGTCTCCATATCTCCTTTCATACCCTGATGGGTTGAGTCTTTCAGAGACCCCCTGTGGAAGGCTCCTTTCCTGTTCCCTGTCTTCTTTTCCTTCTGATGTCTATTCTGTTTGTCTTTCTGAGTGAGGTTTCAGCCTCTTCCCTAGGGTCCTCCTTGTTTAGCTTCTTTAGAACTATAGATTTTTGTATGTTTATCCTATGTTATATGGCTAATATCCACTTATAAGCAAATATATACCATGTGTGTCTTTCTGATTCTGGGTTACCTCACTCAGGATGATCTTTTCTAGTTCCATCCATTTGCCTGCAAATCTCATGATTTTTTGTTTTGTTTTTAATTGCTGAGTAGTATTTCATTATGTAAATGTACCACACTTTATGTATCCATTCCTTGGTTGAGGGACATCTAGGTTGTTTCCAGATTCTGGCTATTATGAATAAAGCTGCTCTGAACATAGTTGAGCAAATGTCCTTGTTGTATGGTGGCACATCTTTCAGACCCAGAAATAAACCCATACACCTACAGCTACTTGATTTTTGACAAAGAAGCCAAAACCTTACAATGGAAAAAAAATAGTATCTTCAACAAATGGTGCTGGTCTAACTGGATGTCTCTATGTAGAAAAATTCAAATAGATTCATATTTATCATCCTGCACTAAAGTAAAGTTCAAGTGGATCAAAGACCTCAACATAAAACCAGACACACTAAATCTGTTAGAAGAAAAAGTGGGGAAGAACCTTGAACTTATTGGCACAGGAGACAACTTCCTGAACAGAACACCAACAGCACAGGCTCAAAGATCAACAATCCATAAATGGGACCTCCCCAAACTATAAAGTTTCTGTAAAGAAAAGGACACTGTCATCAGAACAAAATGACAGCCTACAGACTAGGAAAGGATCTTCCCAACCCTATATCTGACAGAGGGCCAATATCTAGAATATATAAAGATCTCAAGAAGTTAAACAGCAACAAATAAATAATCCAATTAAAAAATGGGTATAGAGATAAACAGAGAATTATCAACATCTACTCCTCTGGAACATGTTTGCTTCTTTTTGTTCTAGAGCTTTTAGGCATGCTTTTAAATTGCTTCAATTTTATTATGAAGGCACCTAGTGCTATGAACTTTCTTCTTAGCACAACTTTCAATGTTTCCCATTGTTTGGGTATTTTGCACCTTCATTTCCATTGAATTTCACAAAGTCTTTAATGTCTTTCTTTATTTCTTTCCTACCCCAATGGTCATTAAGTAAAGAATTGTTAAGTTTCCATGAGTTTGTAGGTTTTTCTCTTGTTTCTTTTCTTTTCTTGCTTTCCTTTCTCTCTCTCTTCCTTCCTTCCTTCCTTCCTTCCTTCCTTCCTTCCTTCCTTCCTTCCTTCCTTCCTTCCTTCCTTTCCTTCTTTCTTTCTTGTTGAAATCTAGTTTTAATCCTTGGTGGACTGATAAGATACAGTTATTTCAGTTTTCTTGTATCTGTTGAGGTTTGCTTTGTGACTGAACATATGATCAATTTTGTAGAATGTTCCATGAGGTTCTGAGAAAAATGTACATTCTTTTGTGTTCAGGCAAAATGTTCTGTAGATACCTGTTACGTTCATTTGGTTGATGATGTCTGTTAGTTTCATTATTTCTCCATTTTGTTTCTGTCTCAATAATCTTTCCATTCATAAGAGTGGGCTGTTGAAGTCTCCCACTATTAATGTATTAGCATCAATGTGTGATTTAAGCTTTAATAATGTTTCCCTTGTGAATGCAGGTGGCCTTTTTTGGGGGCATAGGTGTTCAGGATTATGATGTCCTCTTGGTGGATTTTTTCTTTGATGAGACTGAGGTGTCATTCCCCATCTTTTTTGGTTAATTTTGGGTGAAAGCCTATTTTATTAGATACTAGAATGGCTATCTCAGCCTACTTCTTAGGTATGTTTGCTTGGAAAACCTTTTCTATAACTTTGCTCAGAGATAATGTCTATGTTTGTTGCTGAGGTGTGTTTGTTGTATTCAACAGAATGATGGTCTGTTCAACAGAATGGATGCATCCATTCCGTTAACCTGTGTCTTTTTATTTGGGAATTGATTCCATTAATGTTGACCAATGACCAATGATTGTTATTCCTTTTATTTTAATATTGTTGGTGATAGAGTGTGTGTTTGTGTGTAGTGTGTGTGCGCTTCCCTTCTCTTGGTTTTGTTAAAATATAATTTTCTTATATTTGTATTTAATTGAGCTTCTTTGTCACATAAGTAAATTATTTTAATATAGTTAAGAATTAATTACAGATATTAATTCTTCAAGTATTTCTCTCTCTTTCCTTCTTTGGGAACTCCATTACATAGGAATTATGATCCTCAACATTGCTCCTTCATTTGGAAATGCTCTATTTTTAAATCTTTTGTTCTCTGTCCTTTTTTGATATTTTTCTTGCTATCTTAAATTTATTAATTTTTCCTATGTAATATCTACATTTTCATTAATAATACATCCCCATTTATTTTTATTTCTGACAATGCAGTTTTATCTTTAGCAGCCTAGTTTGCACACATATGCATAAACTCATTATGAAACGTTGGATGACCTCATAATTGTAATCCTTCTGCCTAAGCATCCCTAGCACTGGGGTTACAGGCATGTGCCATCATATTCTTGTCTTCAAATGAGAGATTACCCTAGTTTATCTAGATGGACATTGTCTAGATATAATTCGTTTTTCTTTCTCCTTTTCCTCCCCCTTTCTCTTCCTTCCCATTCTCTTTCCCACTCACTCTTTCTCTCTCTATATCCCTCTCCTTTCTGTTTCTTTCCCTCTTCACCATCCATGTGTTTATCATCCTAAGGACATAAATCAGAGTATGATGGAGCTGGACAACTAACATACTCCTCTCATTTTCACACATACATATATGCATATACCGCTTACATATATCATACACAATCAGGAATACCACAAAGTCACACCACACAATGAACCTCATGGAAGAGATTTATTAGGAGGGAAATTGAGGAGGATGGCTGCTTCTGCTCAGATGAGAAACAGCAAGGAACTGAGCAGACATAGGCATCATATAGGGTTTCTTGGGCAGGGGGCAGAACTTTCCAGGGTGAGGATTTCCAGGGTGAGGATTTCCAGGGTGAGGATTGGTGGGATTTCAAGTCATGACCTTGGGACAGCAAGGGGGATGGGCTTAGGTATTGACAGGTTTTCCTGTTCAAGGGTTGGTGGGTTTTCCTGTTCATTGGTTTCTGTGGCAAGCTCAGGGATTAGTGGGTTTCTCTGTTCAGGGATTGGTGGGATTCTTCTTGAGGGTGGGGCCTGGTCACTCTCCTGCCTTGTGGCTGGGAATGACATTATAGCCATTGAAGGTTATGGCCATTAGGGAAGTCTGGTGGCAGGGCCTGGCCATAGCTCCTCAGATAGAGGGCTGGCCATTTTTCTGCCTTGAGAGTTTACAAAATTTACAAAGGCTAGGAAGGCTTCCCTGCTGCTTGAGTTGGTGTGAATAGCTAAAACATTTAAAAGACTGTGCTCATATTGTGGTCTTTTTTAACTTCCTCATTACATATTTGTATGCTTCATTTCTGCTACAACATTGACATCAACTGAAAGATGTCTAATACTTAGTCATGGTCATATCTAGAAGTATATATGATTGTACATAAAGGACAAATAAGGCATATGTATATTCCCTCCCCCTTTCATATGGAGAGGTCTTCCAGACAATTCAATAACAAATGATGAAAAAAGAGGCTATGATTTTAAAGGAGAGTGGGGAAGAGTATATGAGAAGATTTGGAGGGAGGAAAGGAAAGACAGAAACATTGTAATTAAAATACAGTGGCAAAACCAACCAACCAACAAAACAACAACAAATTTAGTACGTAATGAATCTCCAGACAGTTAAAGAATTGGCTGATCAAGTCACTGGCCTTCTAGTCTGCATATTGTTGCCAATCTTGGTCTCAAAGGTTGTTTTCTTGAGCAACCAGACATTAGTCACTAATGTCACATAGGACCAAAAAGCACTGGCCTAGTCTGTGCCACTGTGATTCACTCATTTTCTTTTTAGAATGGCTTTATTATTGGGTCATGGGGCTTTCTCTAATACCAAACATTGCTTACTGAGTTGGAGTAACATTCAGAGTTGCAGATAATGGTTTTTCAACCCTGGCTTTAATTTTAAAAAATGAAGGCAGGGATTTCCAGAGAACAGATGTAGTTTAAACAAATGGTGGTGATGATGATCCTTCAGCCCTAAACACTTGCATTTTAGAGTCTGTGGTGCTACCTTACAATGTCAAATCCTTTTTAAAAAATTATTTCTTCCTTTTGTTTTTTAAGGCATATTATCCCAGCATGGGCATGAGCAGCTTGAAACTGCTGAAATATGTTCTCTTTATCTTTAATTTGCTCTTTTGGGTAAGTAGCTCCTTTGAACATATCTGAAATAACACCCCTCTATTACAGGTAAGTTGTTTTTTCTTCTCAAATGTGAACTGTGCAAGATTAGGTAATATCCAGAACATTTCACCTAGGTACAAATGAGTAATAATTTCTTCCCTTATTGCCATTCTGTCATACTATAAGCCTATAAAATCATAAGCTATCATTACAGTTAATGATACCAATTCTCTGGGGGTCTTTAGGGTAGCCCAAATAGATGGCATCTGTTAGTCAGGAATGGGCTACAGTTTGGGTAGTCCTCTTCTTGTTCCCAACTGCATTGAAGAACATTGACCATAGAACTCATATGGAAGTTCAATTTCTTATTTTTAAAAAGTACTTCCATGCTGATTTCTGCTGTATGTAGGGTAATTCAGACTATCACCAACAATGTTAAAGGGTCCATTCTTCTGTCATCTTAGTCAGCATTTGTTGTTGATTGTTTATTTTTTTGAACAGTCATTCTGATGAGATTAAATGGACTCTCCATGTAGTTTTGATGTAGCTAGAGATGTCGAATACTTTTTTTCATATATCTATTGACCATTTTCACTTCATTCTTTTTTTTCCTTTTTCTTATTAATTAGTTTATTTACTTTGTATCCCACCTGTAGCTTCCTCCCTCATCTCCTCCCAAACCAACTCCCTTCCTTCTGCCAACCCACCCATACCCCTCCCCCAGCCTACCAATAGGGGAAGTCTTCCTCCCCTTTCTTCTGATCTCAGTCTATCAGGTCTCATGAGGAGTTGTTGCATTATATTCCTCTGTGGCCTGGTAAGGCTACATCCCCCTGAGGGGTGGTGATCAAAGAACAGGCCAATCAGTTCATGTCAGAGTCAGTCCCTATTCCCATTACTATGGAACCCAGTTGGACACTGAACTGCCATGGGCAACATCTGGGCAGGGTTTCTAGGTTATATACATGAATAGTCCTTGGTTGGGGTATCAGTCTCAGAAAAGATCCCTGTGCCCAGATGTTTTGGTTCTTTTGCTCTCCTTGTGGAATTCCTTTCCTTTCCAGGTCTTACTATTTTCTACTTCTTTCACAAGATTCCTTGCACTCTGCCCAAAGTTTGGCTATGAGTCTCAACATCTGCTTTGATACCCTGCAGGGTAGAAACTTTCAGAGGCCCTCTGTGGTAAGCTCCTGTCCTGTTTCCTGTTTTCTCCCTCTTCTGATATCCATCTTCTTTGCCTTTCTGGATGAGGACTGAGCATATTACCCAGAGTCCTCCATCTTGATTAGTTTCTTTAGGTGTACAGATTTCAGTATGTTTACCCTATATTATGTCTAATATACACTTATGAATGAGTACATACCCTGTGTTTCTGGGATACCTCACTCAAGATGGTCTTTTCCAGTTTCCACCATTTGCGTGAAAATTTCATGATTTCCCTTTTTAAATTGCTGAGTAGTATTCCACTGTGTAAATGTACCACAATTTCTGTATCCATTCCTCAAATGAGGGGCATCTGGGTTGTTTCCAGCTTCTGGATATTATGAATAAAGCTGCTACAAACATGGTTGAGCAAATGTCCTTGTGTACTTGAGCATATTTTGGATATATGCCTAGGAGTGGGATAGCTGGATCTTGAGGAAGTGCTATTCCTAATTGTCTGAGAAAGTGCCAGATTGATTTCCAAAGTGCTTGTACAAGTTTACATTCCCATCAGCAGTGGAGGGTTCCCCTTTCTCCACAACCTCTCCAGCACGTGTTGTCACGTGATCTTTGATCTTAGCTATTTTGATAGGTGTAAGGTGAAATATCAGGATCATTTTGATTTGCATTTCCCTGATGACTAAGGATGTTGATCATTTCTGTAAGTGTTTCTCTGCCATTCAATATTCCTCTATTGAGAATTCTATGTTTAGCTATGCACTCCATTTTTTAATTGGGTTACTTGATTTGTTGCTGTTTAACTTCTTCAGTTCTTTGTATATGTTGGATATTAGTCCTCTGTCAAATGTAGGTTTGGGGAAGATCCTTTCCCAGTCTGTAGGTTGCCGTTTTGTTCTAACAACAGTGTCCTTTGCTTTACAGAAGCTTTTCAGTTTCATGAGGTCCCATTTATGGATTGTTGATCTTAGAGCCTGTGCTGTTGGTGTTATGTTCAGGAAGTTGTCTCCTGTGCCAATGAGTTCCAGGCTCTTCCCCAATTTTTCTTCTAACAGGTTTAGTCTGTTTGGTTTTACATCAAGGTCTTTGATCCACTTGGACTTTATTTTGTGATAAGTATGGATCTATTTGCATTTTTCTCCATTTACACATCCAGTTAGTCTAGCACCATTTGTTGAAGATGCTATCTTTTTTTTTTCCATTGTATGGTTTTGGCATCTTTGTCAAAGATCAGGTGTTTATAAATGTGTGGGTTTATTTCAGAATCTTCTATTCGATTCCATTGATCCAACAGTCGGTCAACAAAATAAGAAATGAAAGGGGGACATAACAACAGACACTGAGGAAATCCAAACAATCATTAGGTCTTACTTCAAAAGCCTATATGCCACAAAATTTGAAAATCTAAATGAAATGGACAATTTTCTTGATTGATTCCACTTCATTCTTTTAAAACAGTCTGCTCGTTTCCATTGTTCATTTGTTGATTGGATTTTTTTAATTTTTTTTATTAATTACACTTTATTCATTTTGTATCCCCGCATAAGCCCTTCCCTCCTTCCCTCCTGATCCCACCCTCCCTCTCCTTTCTGCATGCATGCCACTCCCCAAGTCCACTGATAGGGGAGGTACTCCTCTCCTTTCTGATCTTAGTCTATCAGTCCTCTACTGTGGCCTGGTAAAGCTGCTCCCCCCTCAGAGGGAGGTGATCAATGAGCAGGCCAATCAGATTATGTCAGAGGCAGTCCCTCTTCCCATTACTATGTAACCCACTTGGACACTGAGCTGCCATGGGCTACAACTGTGCAGGGGTTCTAGGTTATCTCCATGAATAGTCCTTGGTTGGAGTATGAGTCTCTGGGAAGTTCCCTGTGTTCAAATTATCTTGTTCTGTTGCTCTCCTTGTGGAGTACCCATCCCCTCCAGCTCTTACTATTTCCCACTTCTTACATAAAATTCCATTCAATCTTCCCATCAGTTGGCCATCAGGCTCAGCATCTGCTTTGACAGTCTATACTGCAGAGGCTTTCAGAGGCCCTCTGTGGCAGGTTCCCAGGTTGTTTCCTGATTAGATTTTTTTGTTGTTGTTCTTTTATTCTTCGTTGGTTTTCTTTTTTTGGACTTCCATATGATCTATCCATTTTATTTTTCATTTTGTTTCCAAAAGAATCATAATCAACTTACTCCAAAATAGTTACATATCCATGCTTTCACAACACAATTAACACCTATATTGTTTATGCAGACTACATATCCATACATAGATGAATGTATAAAGGAATGTGTTATATGTACAGAATAGAGCTTTTTTCCATAGCCATAAGAAAGAATGAAATTACTCAAAAAGTATATGAAAGTTAAGGTTACTTTGAGTGAAATAAGTCAGCCCCACATAGAAAACTATTAAATCTCCTGATTATGTGGAAACTAAGAAAAATAAGAAAAGTGTTTAACTAAAAGGACTATTATGACTGAAAAGGAGGAAAATTAAAAGAAAAAAGCAGATAAGAAAGATTAGTAGAGCAGTGAATAGTATCAAAGTACCTTACATGTTCTATGTGTAGAAATACACAATGAAACATTTTGTATAATTAATACAGATTAATAAAAATGTAAAGTTTACAGGCACACATATCCACATGGTTGGTAGTTTAACACAAAAAAGAGATGTCCAGGTGGGTGTCGTGTCCCCAATCCCAGCACTTGGGGAGGCAGAGGCATGAGGATCTTTGTGAGTTTGAGGTTAGCTTGGTCTACAAAGTGGGTCCAGGACAGACAAAGTGAGAAAGAGAAACCCTGTCATCAAGAAGAACAACAACAAAAGAGATGTCCAAGGAGATTTCACTGTATTGAATTTAGCAACTGATTTTCACATATAAGATGAATCGGTACTTGTTCATAAGAATATTTTTATGAGTTTAGTTTGTTTCATAGTCTTCTGATGAAGATGCCTTTCTTCAAACAGAGCAACTCCTCTACATGGTCATACTCTCCAAAGGAAAGGACATGTGTAGACAACTGAGCAGAAAAGAGATAGAACATCTGAAGTATTAAGTTAAGCTTCTGTACAGTGAAGGTATTAAGTCCCTCATAAAGATGACCTTTCCTTGGTATCTGGAAATGTATAGTAAAAACTGTTATGTGACTGCATATAAAGAAGCTGATATTTCCTTTCTATTATGATAGTGGGGAACTGAATAAAGAGGTGACCTTGTGAGTCTTGAGTCAACAAAAACAGGTGATTCTGATGTCAAGAAGATTAGAATATAAATGTGGAAATACTTAGGAACAACATTAACCTTAGAATGCTCTGAAATTCTTCCTTCTAGGTCTGTGGCTGTTGCATTTTGGGATTTGGTATTTACCTCCTGGTCCAAAACACCTATGGAGTTCTGTTCCGTAACCTCCCCTTCCTGACACTTGGCAATGTTCTTGTCATCGTGGGCTCCATTATCATGGTAGTTGCCTTCTTGGGCTGCATGGGCTCAATCAAGGAGAATAAGTGTCTGCTTATGTCGGTGAGTCCTTGCAGTAGCTGTGATCTTCTGAGTTGAGGTCAATGTTGGGTCAATTTCAGAGCAATATGCTTCATGGTAGATTACTTTTGGGTCATATCCACAATTAAGAGCATAGAGAGATAGGTAGGTAGTGGTGGCACACACCTTTAGTCCTACCATTCAGGAAGCAGAGGCAGGCAGATCTCTGAGTCTAAGGCCATCCTGGTCTACAGAGCAAGTTATAGGACAACCAATGTTAAAACTCTGTCTTGAAAATAAAAGGAACAATAAACACAGATTTCTGGCTTGCTTATTTACTTCTTTTCTTCACTCTTTGCAACTCAGATGGCAGCCTATAAAATAATGCACTCACAATGGGTTGGGACCTCTCATACAACCCCTGCCAGATATCCCCACAGGCCAAGGTGACCTAGATAATTTCCCAAGTAACTTTTTTCCAGTTGATTTTAGGTTGTGTTAAGTTTATAATAAAAACTAACACAGTCCATCCCATCATTTAACACACACACGACTTTGAGATATAACTTTCTATCCCTTGTCACAGATGCCTCATGTTAATATCAGAATATAAAATATAGTCCAATTCCAGTATTACAAACTTTTCAAGACTTCGAAGTTCAAGGTCTTTTAACTGTAAGCTTTTGTAGAATAAAAAAGTTACATATATAAACATTGTTCTTCTGAGAGAGAAGAAACATGGGTAAAAACAACTATGCCAAAACAAATAAACAAATAAAAACCATCAGATTTTATTTAGGAATATATCAACAATTATAGGAGAAAGCAAGTAATAGGACAGGAGCCTACCACAGAGGGCCCCTGAAAGATTATACCTAGCAGTGTATCAAAACAGATGCTGTGACTCATAACCAAACCTTGGGCAGAGTGCAGGGAATCAAATGAAAGAAGAGGGACTTAGTATGACCTGGAGAGGACAGGAGCTCCACAAGGACCAAATATATCTAGGCACAGGGTTCTTTTCTGAGAATGATTCTCCAACCAAGGACAATGCATGGATATAACCTAGAACTCCTGCCCAGATATAGCCCATTGCAGCTCAGTATCCAAGTGGGTTCCTTAGTTAGGGGAACAAGGACTGTCTCAGATATGAACTCAATGGCTGGCTCTTTGACCTCCTCCCCTCTTCAAGGGAGGAGAAGCCTCCTCCCTCAGGCCACAGAAGAGGATATTGTAGCCAGCCCTGAAGAGACCTGATAAGCTAGGATCAGATGGAAGGGGAGGAGGACCTCCCCCATCAGTGGACTTAGGGGCAGGAAGGAGATGAGGGAGGGGGTGGGATTGGGAGGGAATGAAGGAGGGGCTACAGCTGGGATACAAAGTAAATAGACTGTAATTAATATAAACAATAATAACTAAAATAAACTGAAAAAAACAATTATTAAAAAAAAACTATGAATTTTAAAAAGACTAAGAAGAGGTATGAGGGAGTTTGGAGAAAAAAAATGGAAGGGGAAATGATGTAATTTTAGTACAATCTCAGGAACCAACAGAAAAATAAAAAAAGTCAGTACTGTATATACCAAATTTTGAAGCTCCAGTGTCTAGAAGCTGGGCCTTGTATTCTGGGCTCCAAACAATTTGGATAGTTCCACCCTTACAGTTACGTTGCTGGTAGCAATACAGATTTTCTCCTGGAAGCAAGCCAGCTCAACTCTACAGTTGTAGCTTTTCCTTGGTAAATGTTTGCATTTGCAGTGTCTGGGTTCTCCATTGTAACCGAGGTATCAAGTACACTAGTGGCCTCTTAGGGCCTCTCTGTAGAAAATCTGACCCTACCACAAAGTTCCAATATTCAGTTGCTCTTTATAAGTGCTTCATGCTTTCAAAACTAGTGCCACAGGGATGACTGTTACATTTCCAGGTTCTCCTGCAAGCTCAAGATGTAGCTTTTCTCATTGGTCCATAGTGTATTGGCTTCTGTGTAATTGACTCCTATGAAACACAAGGAGTTCACTTCAGTGGCACTGATCTCTTTGACAATCATAGCTGCTCTTTCAGTCCCTGAATGAACTGTACACATTGAATGGTATACACAGTACAAATGGCAAACTATCACATTGAAGAAAAAGGCCCCTGTCTTTAGTGTATCAACCCAGTGAAACACGGAAGGCTTACTTTAATTGTGACAACCTCCAATAAATCAGCTTTCTTCTGCTCCAGCATGAACACCACACATAGATTCTTAGCCCAAATGTCACATGAATATTCTCTAGTCCAGTTAATGACTAAGTCCATGATCTGAAACTCCACTCTTAGTACCCTTTCAACAATCCATAAGAATATCCCACTAAGCTCTACCTATATCACTCCATGGGACTTTCCAGATCAAAGATTCAACATCTTCCTTATTCCTCAAAAAAATAAAAAATAACATCACCAGGTTCATCACAGCAACAGTCCCACTTCCTTCATGCCAATTTCTGATTTTGTTTTCTTTCTGTTGCTGTGATAAAATACCTGGAAAAAGATACTTAGAAGAGAAAGGTATTTTTTTGACTTCAATAGTACAAGGAGTGCAGTTCATTATTGCATGAGTGTTAAAACAGGAATTAAAAGCATTACATCTTCACTTAAGAGTAGAGAACAAATGCATGACTACTTGATTACTTGCTGTGTGTTCTCAGGTAGTATTCTTTACTTTTACACAGTTCAGGGTCCAGGTCATGAAATGGTGCTAATGGATTAATCTTCTCACTTTTATTACCAATTAAAACAGTACCACACAGACATGCACACAGAGCAACCTAGATAGTTCCTCAGTTCACTGAGAAATTGCTGGTTGATTCTAGATTGTTAAGTTGATAATTAAAGCTAACCATAATAGCATCTCTTAACAGCCTAGATTTTATAAACCGATATTAGTTTGTTTCTCACTGGGATCCCAAGGCTATGCAGAAGACATTATTTATCTGTTATATCCATTTTACACTATCAGTAATGACTCTTGTCATTGCCATGTCCTTTCACAGCATGTATTTTTCCTTGATGTCTGGTTGAAATTAGTTATCTTTCTGCCTAAATTCTCATGTAAGAACACACTTCAGGATCTGACACATAGTAATTAACTGATAAAAAAAAATCAGTAGGTTCTTCCAAACATAGTGACCTTCCCTAATGATATAGAATTCATTCTTAATTCATGCACAAAGTAGCCTTCATAGTAGGAGTGGTCCAATTTTGGTAAGAACCTTGTCTGAAGTCTTTGAATACTAAAAATGGAAGAGATTTGCAGCAGTTCTCTGTCAAATAACCAGCCTGAGGAGTACTGTCAGGCTTAGATTTTGCCTCATGCTATAGGAGTAAAAATGATGCACCTTTCCTCGTGTAGTAAGGGCAGAGGTGGGTATAACAATGCTTCTATTCTTATGTGAAACCATCCTGGTTTTCTCTTAAGTCATATAATCAATCTTCTCTTGTAGATCAACACTTAAGTCAATAATAATAATAATAATAATAATAATAATAATAATGTTTTTAGTATAAAATCGTTCTCAGGTAGATAGCAAACAACAAGAGATATCAGAGACAGGATAAATGATTTAAGCTGTCAAAATTGCTGTTTAAGTTTATTAAAAAATTGAAGAACAAATGTAATTGTGAAAGTTTTATGCATATAAATGTCATGCAGGGATTAAAATTTCAAATTCAGAGGAAAAAAATGACTTAGAACTATGATTAGGGTCCTTCTTTCCTTCTTCTGTACAGATGTTCTCCCAAGCTTCACTCATTATCTACCCTCCATCTTGAGCTAGACTTCATCTGACATATGGGACCAGGACCTGAACTCATTGGACTCATGCATTAGTTTCCTGTTTTCATTTTGCTCAACTGTTTTGCTAGGATGATGCTAAAACATTGACTCAACAATGTAGAGAAAAGTTAGAGCATAGCTTATTTTCCTGTTAGAGTCTTGCTGTAGTAAACGAACATATATCCCTCATAAAACAAGAGAGGACTTAGGAAGCTGTGAGGAGGCAGAAACATGAGTATGGGTGAGAATGTGTGTAAGTGCATATGCACACATGTATAGACATGTTTGCTCCCAAGACATACAGACATACACACACACACACACACACAGAGAGAGAGAGAGAGAGAGAGAGAGAGAGAGAGAGAGAGAGAGAGAGGTAGATCAGAAATGGAATCAATGTTTTGATCATTTCTCTGCTTTGTCACAGTTCTTTGTTCTGCTGCTGATTATTCTCCTTGCCGAGGTGATCATAGCCATCCTGCTCTTTGTGTATGAACAAAAGGTAAGTTATAAAGAACATGGCCTGTTCTCTTATTGTTGAGATGGAGAACACACAGTGGATAAAAAGTTAGTAAAACAAAATTAGTATTAAGTTATGCAAATGAAATGGGAGGATGAGAGATTAATTGTAGTTGAGAAAAATAGTTATTAATATTGTATTTGAATGATGCCTTGAAAGGTAAATGGAGAGAAAATGAAGGAAGTTTGTCTTTTTCCCGCCTACTTTTCTCTGTGCAGCTGGCAGTCTTCTCAGTAAGATATGACCTTGGCTTTGGTTGTACTTTTTATTTTCTTTGTGAAACTAATCCTGGAAAGATAAAAGTCCATTTATTTATATCTTCCTTCGATATTATAAAACCTTCAGCTTGTCTTCTTATATAGCCTCTCTTACCTTACTTTCCTAGGTTTGATTACTTGAGAGGGGGGAATCTATATGGTCCACTAGAAATCTCTTATTTCTTGAATCCATTTGTTTTTCCTATGTCTTCTTTGATGAAATATGATTTTCCCAGCTGAACACGTATGTAGCTGAGGGACTGAATGACAGCATTCAACATTATCACACAGACAACAGCACCATGAAGGCATGGGACTTCATCCAGTCAAATGTAAGTATATAAAAATTCTTGCTCAGATGAGTCAGACTGAACTCCCAGACTTTGTCCTCAGAAACCAGTGTCCCTTTCCTAAAGACTTCAGACTCAAAGATCTTCAGTTCTGAAGTCAAAAGTATTGTCTTTGCTCTCACAGGCTGGGGAGTTTAAGAGTTAATCCAATTGGTACAAATTTTCCTATATTCTATTTCATTCTCTACCAACTCATATGAGATCATTACTTTAGGCCCAATAAGATGAAAAGAAGATCCAAATGAATCATATTGGATTAGTCAACATATTTTTCAAATTTTTATTAAAATAGCAGTAAAATAAACCTCTTTTAAATTCCCAAGTCACAAAAATTCTTATATTTTTTTACCTAGTGCTCTAATGTCACATTTTCTATGCTTCTTCTCTATCCATGAACATGTATCAACTCTCATTCTTGCCTTAGAAAGTTAGGGAACACTAGCACTAGCGGAATCTGAGACAGGTTGATCTCCATGCGTTCAAGGTCAGTCTGGTCTACAAAGTCCAGGATAGCGAGTCCAGGACAGCCAAGGTTACACAGAGAAACTCTGCCTTGAAAAAAACAAAAGAAAAAAAAAAGGTTAGGGGACAAATATGGGCTAGAGAACCTTGCAAAGGCCTGACGTAGGTCTCAAAAAGTATCATCATTACCCATGATGGATTAATATGGAGTATCCAATAACATAGGAAATTATAACATAAAAACAAGAATGGGAGGACTTGTTTCATGCAAAGTCAAAACATCTCTAGATTTCAAATTACTTGTTTGTTTAAATTTAGATTAGACGTCCTGTTTAACGTTCAGACACACAACAAAGTGAAAAACAAAACAAAGGAAAATAAATCTCTTGATATAAGTCATCAACTTCATATTGATCTTTGTCACTGTCACTTCATTTAATCCCCTAAACATTTTTTCTGGAATATTCTAAAGCAAATAAAATACTGAACCTTATATCATCTCACCCACTAAATATCACTACAGAGGCTGGCTCAGGGGTTAACAGCATTTTTTGCTTTGCCAGAGGATCTGAGTTTTGCTATAGAATATACATGGCTGCCCACAACTTCCCGGAGCTGCAATTCCAAAAAATCTGAAGCCTTTTTATGGCTTCTACATGTTATTGCATAAATGTAGGGAACATAGTTTCTCACATACATACATACACACACACACACACACACACACACACACACACACACACACACAAATAAATAAATAAATCATCAAATGTCATTAATGGTCTATATTCCAATTATTCTAATTTTCTCAAACATTTTCAACTGATTTGAACAAATCAAGACCTGAAAAAGATGTCTCAAAATTTCCTTTACTCTGTAATGGTATCCCACTTTTTATGTTATATGTATGTGAACAAAAATTATTGCTATTGTGATACAAAAATTATTGTCCTATAGATTCCACCACTTTCTGTATCTATCTGGTTTATTCCCATGGGTATTTTGATGTCAAGAACCCTGTTTCCCAGTACTGTGAATCTAGAAAGCTGATGAAGTCTAACTTTATCCTCTCTCTTTTTTAAAATAATATTCTGTTAAGAATGTCATACAATGTATTCTGATCATATTCATCCCTCAATTCTTCCCAGATATACCCCCAATTCCCTACTCAACCAAATTTGTGTCCTCATTTTATTTATAAACCCACTGAGTTCAGTTAGTGCTGCCTATAGATGTTTGGGTGGGGGCATGCCCTGTGGTGTAGTTTACCTGCCAGTGGTTATACACTCAGGGAAAACTGGTTTCCTTCTTCCAGCAACAATCAGTTGCCAATAACCACAGCTAGGGATGGGGCCTTCTGCCCAATCTACCCTTCCTGCTTGTTCTGGTTTTGCTGACTGTGAGTTTCCAGTCATCCACCACCTCTGCCTCTTTCTGTTCATTCTTCCACATATATCCACTCTGGGGCTGATTACCCCATACTTTCTTATTCTTTGCATATTGACCAGTTGTGGGTCTCTGTATTACTCACCATCTACTAAAAATAGAAGCCTCCTTGATGATGATTCAGTAACTCATCTATAGGTATAGTAATAAATCACTAGAAATTGATTCAATATTATGTCCATTTAGCAAAATTATACTAGTAGGTTCTCCCCAAAGACCTATAACCACCTAGTCACAGATCATTGCCCCCCCCCAAAATGATGCCAAGTTTCTCCTTTAAATAATATGCTTTAAATCTATGCAGAAAGTTATTGGTTATACCATTGACATTTGTATCATGATAGCTCTAGTAGTAATATCTTGCTAGAATGTTCATTATTATTGCTCTCAGGGCTCGCAACTCTGTAATATTTATGATTACTTTTCTCTTCTGTAACTTGCACAGACTCTTCCAGCACTATAAAATCTATCCAGTAAGGATCAGGCTTCCAAATCAATACAGCTTGATCTCTCCATTATTTCATGATTCACATATGTGGTGGCTCCAGCAATAGGGTGTTATTGCCACATGTTTTGGAGGGTAACCAAGGTCATTAGCAATAGCTTGTAATATTTATGTGGCTATAGGAACTCAGTGGCCAACAACTCCAACAAAGGCTTATTTGTTAGTTTGTGGGGTCTAGTAGGGGCATTATTGTCCAGGTAGAGTATAAGTCCATTTACATTTGTGTGTGTATATAAGGAAATTTTTATGGTAGTATGTTTCTATATGGCTCTTTTAAAAGCTCTTTAGTGTTAGTTAGCCCTACCATTATTATGTTACTTATCCTGTTCTCCTATCTCCAACTCCACTTAAATATCTCCATTCCATTTATCTCCTGAGAGTATCTCTATTCCCTTTTATTAATTTCCTGGCCTCTATCAATACTTCGATTTAAACAAATAATATAAACATTCAAAACTGGCATTCATGTATAAGAGAAAATATGTGATGTTTGTTTTTAATGAGTCTAGGTTACTTTACTCTAGATGATTGTTTGTACCTCCATTCATTTACCTGCAAATTTCTTAATTTAACTTTTCTTAAGAACTAAATGATATTCCATTGTATAAGTATACTACATTTTCAATATCTATTCATCAGTTGATGGGTATTTTTGCTATTTCCATTTTCTGGCTACTGTGAATAGTGTAGCAAAAAAAAATATGGATGAGAAACTATTTCTTTCATAGGATATAGAGACCTTTGGCTGTATGTCCAAGAATGGGATAGCTGGATCATAAGTTTCTTCTATATTTAAAACAATAATAGCTGCTACTTTCTGTTTTCTCATCTAGGCAGGTATCTAATTATCTTGTTTTCAACAATATCAAGAGTCAATGTGGTTAGACTTAGTTCTATGTTACAAGGTCTCTAGGCAGGAAGTACTTGATAGGTAAAATATATAAATCAAACATGTACTCTATACTTTGTAGAAGTCTCCTGTGAATAAATGGTATAACATTCTTGTGGACATTTAATTCCAAAGAGTCTGTAGCTGTAGACCAATTCTGATTTTTCTTCTCTGGAGTTATATTTGAATGACAGGCATACCCTTTTATATAATGTCCAGTTTCTATTTCGTTTTTCTGTTGAATTTCTAATCATTATGTTTGTGGGGACTTGGCTTTCAGCTGCACTGTTGTGGTGTAAATGGCTCAAGTGACTGGATCAATGGTCCACCATCTTCCTGTCCACCAGGTGCAGACATTCAGGTAATTTTGTTGGCAATTTTCCTGCTTGGCTTTCTTGTTCAAACTTTTAATTATTTCAGAAACAATGCCAGAAAGAACTTCAACCTTCCACCAAGAAACAGCAAATTTTGGACACTATCATCAACAACAACAAAGAGAGGGAAACAACCCCCAATTTAAACTTCCAAAATCTTTAAGTAGGCTAATCTAGCTAAGAGACTGAAGAACATTTGTTACACTATTAACTGAGTGTGCATGTGTGTGTGTGTATGTGTGTGTGGTAGTTTGTGTAAAAAATAGCTCAGAGATATATCTATCTTGAACAGAAGGTAGTCCTTGTGTTTAAAGTATAATTTACAGGATTAAGGTAGATTGGCTTTTTTAGGTAACTGCTTGTCTTCTCTTCTTGGAAATGGCGGATCTGTTCCCTTTATGGGATGTGTTAAACATAAGCAGAGGAATGAGAGCTTGAGAAAAAGTTTTTAGAAGCCACCTTCACTCTTAATTTTGTGTCTCACTCTTTACTTTTCATGAAGAAAAGAATTATCTTCCAGTAAAACAAATAAACTAAGTACACTAAGATCTTGACCCCATGTTACCTTTTCCTGAGTTTGGAAGTTTACAGAGATATGAGGTCCACAGGGGAAAAAAAGAAACCATGGCAACCACCAGTCAACAACTCTGGAATTTTATAGGGTTTATAATAGTGATTATTGGAGCAGATACTGATATGTAACTTGATCCAAAGATTCCAACACCTATAGTTCCATATGTTACTCTTAGATCAGCACTGAGTGTTGCTGAACATAACACAGAACATAAGGACATGTGTTTCTGACTTACCTCTTGGGAGCTAGTTTAACTCAGGAGCTAAGACTTCTGTCTTACATGCCAGTATACTGATAATATTAGTAGAAATGTCTCTGATTTAATATTCTCTATTTTATGCCTGTTTCTTTAAACATGCAATGGAAATTAAAACATAATATCTGATATAAGTCACTGTTTTAAATAAATACAAATTACCATCCTAGATAACCTTCTTGATAAAGTTTACAAAATAAATTGTGTCATTCATGCCTATGTTTTTTCCCCTAGGGTTGCTATAATAAAGCAAAATCATGGTTTCACACCAACTTCTTATATATTGGAATCATTACCATCTGTGTATGTGTGATACAGGTAAGACCTTGATCCCAGGATCCTTGTAAGAATTAAATGTGTTAAATCTTGCAGTCTTAGAACAGTACTAGGGAAGTAGAATGAGGCAATAAATGTTATACTATTCATTTGTTTGTCTAGCCAAGGAAAAAAGGATTATATTAATAATTCAATTTAAAGCACCCAGAAAATGTTATAGGAATATATATCATCAACACATCCCTTAGAGATATGAATGAGTAACAGTTAAATTAAAAGTGTTAAGCAGAATCCCACTTTAGTCACTAACTTAGGTGGTCTGGAAGTAATGATAAGACAGTTCACTTGAAAAATTGAGCTTTTATGTTAATAAGGGAAGGATGATGAAAATTATAATTATTTTTGCTTTGTGCTTATATGTGGCTGTGATATTCATACTATTTTCTACCCAAGTATTGGGCATATTATACATTACTTAAGAGTTAGTCAAAAAATAAAAGGAAGAAGAAAGCAAAGGAAACAAAAGGCTTGGGTAGAGTTGACTTCTTTTTCTTATACTGTTCAATAAGGACAACATGACTACATTAACTAAGTGTCTGTGACTTAAGAATATAAAAACATTTTTAAGAGCTTCTAATTTTCTTTTATATTATTATTATCCCTATTTCCTCTCTAATGCTATCCTTAAGCTTAAAGAGAGACATTCCTTAGGTGGGAATGATGCTTAGAGACTGTCACAATATGATGGAAATCTTGCTTTTCTGTGTTACCAATCTCCGGAAATGTGGGAGAAATGTTTTCTCATACGAAGACTTCACATTTTCTCAATTCTCTTCTCAGGTGCTGGGGATGTCCTTTGCATTGACACTGAATTGCCAGATTGACAAAACCAGTCAGGCCTTAGGGCTGTGACCTGCAACTGCTGTCTGCTTAAGAGACGTATTTCACTCTGAAAATCCAAAGCACCCATAGCATGAGGCCCTAAACAATTACCTGCCTGACTGGCATTTTGGCTTCCTCTTATGTCTTCCTTGATTGGGTCTCTGTTTTATACACATCTAGAGAAGAGAATAGTTTTCACACACTTCCCATCTCAAGCAGAAGACAGTCATTCACCAACTGATAGCAGTAACAATATCCCTTAAAGATAGTGAAACCTACGTGTGTGTGTGTGTGTGTGTGTGTGTGTTTTAACACGAGGGACAAAGAAAATCTGCAGTACCAGTGACCTGAGATCAGAGTATTGGCCCAGCCCCTGAGGTTAGCTGTGAGTTCTCAAAAGATAGGTACAAGTTTAAATGTTATATTGTTAACAATTGTCAAATCAACCCTTAGCCTCAAATCATGCTATTTTCACATAGGAGACAAGATGAAGAAAATTCAAGAGTCAGACTCATTGGATAATTGACATACCCTGTTTTCTTTCGAACACAGGCCTTGGTAATAGGAATGATACAGTGATATTTCATCGAAGGGAAATATTTCAATTTTTTGTTAAAATGTCTTATTGACTTTGTTACATCCAATCATCAATCCATCCATCCATCCATCTATCAAAGACTAATTAATTATTCCTATCCTTATTCAGCCAGTCTTAAAACTTAACATAGTCGTAGAACCCAGAAGTACTAATAGCTCCAGTGTGTTAGCTAATAATCATATTCATGTTTTTTTATTTCACTATTAAGGTTCTTTTAATGTACTATTTTAATTTGTGAATAAACAAAATAGTTTATGACTATTCATCAAGCCTTTGACACATTTCTGATATTTTCATGTTTATGTTGTTATTTCACTATCAAATAAGGTTCTTTTAATGTACTATTTTAGTCTGTGAATAAACAATAGTTTATGACTATTCATCAAACCATTGACTCAATTCTGATATTTGTTAGAAAGCCAAATATATTAGATAGCTATTTCTGTGTTAACAAATTAGTTCAACATGTAGTAGCTAAGGACCTATATACATTTGTTTTACTTACTGATTGATTTAAAGAGAGGAATTTGCTATGTAGCCCAAGTCTTGGAACTTGCTAAATAGCCCAAATTGGAACTAAACTCATGATCATCCTGCTTCTACCTTCTGAATATTAAAATTACAAGTATATGTCACTATGTTTACTCAGGACAAACATTTATTATCTGATGGGCTTATGGTGCTTAAGTGGTCAGCCATGTCTTTAGTCATCTCAAGTCTCAGTGGAAAAGGAATCCACTGTCATATTCTCATATGGTTGTAACATGCCTCATATCATGCCCCCCCCCCAAATGTTTACATGGATAGTTCCTGAATAATGAGGCAGTTAAGACATAAAATGAGATGTAACATCCAAAAATAGAAGCCACAGAACTTGTATAGCTCAACCAGAAGTGCTACCAACAGTTATTCTTAGATCTGGTTCAAAAGTTCAATTTCCATTCAGGAGAAGATTGCAAAAGGTTATGACTACTAGGAAGCTGAGATAGCTGTTGGCCATATGAGAGATAGCTAACCATCTCCTCATGTTTGTTGTGTCAAGAAAAGAAGATTGTATACTTGTTTATATAACTATAAAGTAGAAAATTAGAACATATATAATACATACTACTTAACGTACAGAACTCATAAGAATAGAAAAAAATGGTTTTTCTTTTGCTAATTTTCTGTAGGATCTCTCACCTGACTTTAAAAAATTGGTTATTTTAGTGGGGTTCTATAGGGAAAATATCTGTTGCATTTTCTGAGGCATACAAAGAAGAGACAGGTATTCCTCTTCTTTGTTCAAACTCTTAGTGGTGCTGTCACCTGTTGAGTTTTTCTACCTAGTACCTGAGCTTTGTTCTTACCTTTATTTTGTTCTTCACTCCAAATAACCTGTCATGAAGCTATAAGGATTCAACTACCAACTATTACCAACATCATATATCTCAGTCCTTGCCACATTCTTTCAATAGTCCATTTATTTTGTAGTCTTAGTAGCCATAAATGGCCACATCTTCACTATTTCCTACACAGAAGCTCAAATTATATCTCTAAAGCATAAATCTAATCACACATTTTTATAAATGAAACTCTTCATTAACTTGTTTTGAAAATAAAATTCAGATACTTTACCTGTCACATCCTACAAAAAATGTACCATTCTTAACCTCAGACTTCACCTCCTGACAGTTTTACTCTTATATTCTGATTTTGTTACAATGATGTTTATTAACTTTTATTAGACTTTATTAGACCAGTTACATTTTTAACAGTTCCCTTTGTTTGAATAACTTCTTCCCTTCATGTAAAGATTTCTCTAATCTCTCAAGGTTTATGATTACTAAGTCTTTGCAGTTATGAGCTACCACCCTTATCTGTTTTATTTGAGTGAGAGCTAAACTTTGTTTTTGTTGGCAACAACTAAATCCAGAGCCTCCTAATGCTGACTCAATGTTCTGTAGCTGTGCTACTTTCCTAGAATTGGGAGCTGAACATTTGAATCATTTTTTAAAAATAAGAACACAGCAGAACGCAGACATGTTAATTTTGACAAGATTTTTCTGAAATGTACTTACATAACATACTCATAAAAAGTTCAGTCATTATTACATCTCTAAGTCTTATCTTGGTAGACATTATCACCTTTTAAAAAGACACATTCCTACTGTGTAGCCCAGACTCGCCTTGAACTCATTTTGTAGTCCAGGCTGGCCTTGAACTCAAAATTGTCAAAGTTGGCCCTAACTTAGTATGTAGCCTATCTTAGCTTTAAACTCAGTACGTAGCTAAGGCTGCCTTATACTTCAGTAGTGATTATCCTACTTTATCCTCCCAAAGGCTAAGATTACATGCATGTGTCCTCATTAATGACATATAATCACATTTTTATTATTTATTTTTGTTTTTATTATCATCTTGATCAAATAAAAAAGGAGATAAAAATATAAATTAACTATAAAAAAACTATTAACTATAGAGCGGATTCAATGCATTATCAGGAATTGTTGAGAGAAAAAAATAGTCCTCATAAAAGAGAAAGTAGTTTTTGTTTTCTGCTGCCAAATTAATATTTGGACTGAGAAAGAAAAGTGTAGGTAAGGGAGAGAAAGTTAATGAGAGAAGATTTGGTGGTGACATGTTAAAAAAGTTATCCCCAGCTTTCTGACTCTAGTTTCAATTCCCAGCAATTTGGCAGCTCACACCTATCTGTAATTCTAGTTCCATGAGATCTAACACCTTCACACAGACATACATGTAGACAGAACAGCAATATACATTAAAAATAAATAAATAAATACTTTATGTAAAAAGAAAGAAATTGAAAAGTGTCTGTAAGGTAAAGGACACTGTCAATAGAACAAAATCCCAGAAGCAGAAAGACACACACGGTATATACTCACTCATATAGACATATAATATAGGATAAATCTACTACAATCTGTATACCTAAAGAAACTAATCTAGAGGGAGGACTCTGGCTAAAATGCTCAATCCCCATTGCGAAAGGCAAAGAGGATGGACATCTGAAGAAGAAAACAAGTTAGGAAACAAGTTAGGAGCCTCCCACAGAGGGCCTCTCAAAGGCTCTGCCCTGCAGACTATCAAAGCAGATGTTGAGACTTACCGCCAAACTTTGGGCAGAATGCAGGAAATCTTTTATTTTTCACTAATTCATACTCTTTTTAAAATTAATTACATTTTATTCACTTTGTATTCCCCCATAAGCCTCTCCCTCCTCTCCTCCCAATCCATCCTCTCTCTCCCTTCTTCATGCATGCCCCTCCCCAAGTCCACTGATAGGGGAGGTCCTCCTCTCCTTCCTTCTGATTTTAGTCTATCAGATCTCATCAGGAGTGGCTGAATTGTCATCTTCTGTGGCCTGGTAAGGCTGCTCCCCCCTCAGAGGGAGGTGAACAAAGAGCAGGCCCATCAGATTATGTCAGAGGCAGTCCCTCTTATGAAAGAAATGGAAAATAGTAAGATCTGGACAGGACAGAAGGTCCACAAGGTGAGCAACAGAACCAAAAAATTTGAATACAGGGGTCTTTCCTGAGACTCATACTCCATCCAAGTACCATACATGGATATAACCTAGAACTCCTGCACAGATGTTGCCCATGGCAGTTCAATGTCCAAATGGGTTCCAAAGTAATGGGAACAGGGACTGCTTCTGACATGAACTGATTGGCCTGCTCTTTGATCACCTACCCCTGAGGAGGGAGCATCCTTACCAAGCCACAGAGGAAGACAATGCAGCCACTCCTGATAAGACCTAACAGACTAGGATCCGAAGGAAGAAAAAGAAACCCTCCCCTACCAGAGGATTGGGGGAGGGGTATGTGTGGAGGAGGATGAGGAGGAAAGGAGGGACTGGGAGGGGAGGGGGGAGGGAACTAGAGGGGGAATACAGAGTAAATAAAATGTAATTAAAAGTAAAATAAAATTAAAATTAAAAAAATAGAACAAACAGCAGCCTTCAGATTGGGAAAAGATCTTCACCAAAGATCTTTTGTCAGATCTTTTGTCAGATGGGTTTTGTCAGAACCCATCTGACAAAGGGCTAATGTCTAAAATATATGAAGAACTAAAAGAATTACACAGCAACAAACCAAATAATTCAATTAAAAATGGGGCATAAGGGAGTGGGTACAGAGACACATAGGTAGACATTATGTGGAGAAAGAGTCTAAATTGAAGGTTTCCACTGGGTCCCTCCCCCTCTGAGATAAGGAAACTCGGCAGAACCGGGGAAGAAAAGAATGTAGAGTCAGAGGAGACATCAGGAGTACATAGCCCACTGAATTCTGCAGGGCTCATATAGACTGAAGCAGCAAGCATAGGCCTGCATTGGTGTGCTCCAAGTCCTCTTTACAGCTGCTAGCTTAGTGTCCTTTTGAGACTCCTACCAGTGGGAGTAGGTGCATTTCTGACTCTTTTGCCTACTCCTAAGACTTATTTTCATCCTATTAAATTTCCTTGTCTGGCCTTGATATGATGATTTTTACTTTTTCATATTGTATCTTTTTTTGTCCTGTCTGGCTGTTGTCTCTTGGAGACTTGCTCTTTTCTGAAGAGGAAATGGAAGAAAAAAAAAAAAGGAACTGGAAGGAGACAGGGAGTGGAGGGAGAGGAAACTGTAGATGAGATATATTGTATAAGTAAGACAAAGTTTGAAAAAAATAAATTAAATTTAAAAAAATTAAAATTAAAGTCAATGGCAAACACATCTCTAGTAAGTACACAAATTCATGGTAATTAAACAACCCATTACTAAATGGTGAATGGATCAAAGAAGAGATAAATAGAAAATTCATGGAACTAGATGGAAACAAACCCAAATACAACAATATACCTAGAACACATTCAAAGTATTCCTTTTAGGGACATTTTATAACCCCAAGGGTCTACATTAAAAGCAAAAAACAAACAAACAAAAAAATCAGAAAAAACCCAAAGAAATGACCTAATGATAAAACTCAAGATTTTGGAAGAAGAAGAACAAACCCAAACCAAATCCAATGGACAGAAAGAAATAATAAAAATCTGATCGGAAATCAGTGAAAGAGGAACAAAGAAAACAATGCCAATATTCAACAGATCTAAGAGCTGGTTCTTGAAAAAGATGAACAATATTGACAGACCCTTGGCTTAATCAACCAAAGAAAGAAAGAGATGGTCCAAATGAACAGAATCAGAAATAAACAACACCAAATATTAAAAGACATAAAAAAATTCAAATCTTATCAGGGAATACTTAAAGGACCCATTCTCTATTACACTGAAAGTTAACAT